ATGGCGCAATCTCGGCTCACCGCAACCTACGCGTCCTGGGTTCAGGCAATTCTCCTGCCTCAGCCTCCTGAGTAGCTGGGATTACAGGCATGCGCCACCATGCCCAGCTGATTTTTTATATTTTTAGTAGAGACGGGGTTTCACCATGTTGACCAGGATGGTCTCGATCTCTTGACCTCGTGATCCACCCGCCTCGGCCTCCCAAAGTACTGGGATTACAGGCGTGAGCCACCGTGCCCGGCCAGTCTTTAATAATTTTTAAGAGTCTAACAGGATCTTAAGACCAAAAATTTTGAAAACCACTGCTCCCAAGTTTTTTTTACAGCCATGATTTGGTATGAATTTAAGCTTACCCTGACAAAGTATCGCATGATCTTGTTCTGGAAATCTCCTGGAGGTAGCAATAAATATAGTAATACCTCACACAAATCTCTTAGGAAACCTAAAAATAGAAAAAGTAGCCATAATAACATTAGAAAATATAAAGTCTACACCTACTCTTGATAGATAAATTAAAAAGGTAGAAATAAATAGCTTCCTGGTTATACTGGCTTATTATTTTAGTAATTAGTACACATCTGTATTCATTAAAAATTCCTTCACTGTTCTCCAAGTAATAACCATTAATCAACTTAGTATTTTTTTAAATTTTGCTGTTTTAGCCAGTTTTTTGAATCATAAAAAACTTCCTTACAAATCTTTTTTCTCAAAATAGTTTTAGACAGACCATGTAGTTTGTAATTCTACTGCACATTAATCAGCATTGCATACTTAAATGTTATTCATACATTTAAAAATATAGCTTTTTCTTTCAAGAAAAAGCCTCCACTATCTCAGCAGGCTATAATAAAGGAAAAGGAGTATGCTCTTCTGCTGATTTAAGACAGCTACACTTACATAAAGTATTGCACATCAGTATTTCTATGTGTTACATTCTAAGTTACTATAATACAAATTGACCCTTGAACAAAGAGTCTGAACTGCTCAAGTCCACTTATATGTGGATATTTTTCAATAAATATATTGGAAATTTTTTTAGAGATTTGCGACAATATTAAAAAAATCAGAGATAAACTGCATAGCCTAGAAATATCAAAAAGATGAAGAAAAACGCAGGTCATAAATGCATAAAATATATGTAGATACTAGTCTTTGTATTAACTGATTGTTTACATTATTGGTAAGGGTTATAGTTAACAGTGGGCTGTTGGTATTTATGTTTTTGGAGAGTCAAAAGTTATGCACAGAATTCTGTCTGCACAGGAGTCAGTACCTCACTGTATAAGGGTCAACTGTATTTCTTAACAGTGCTAAAAAGCTGGGCACTAAAAGCTGAATCATACAATAAAGGTAAAAAAAAGAAAGAAAAGGAAATAAAAGAAAGGAAAAACTAAGAAAATAAATAAAAACATTTAAAATATTCTCAAAATCTAAGAAAACAATTTCTACCACTAGAAGGGCTTTTCTATAGTTGTTCCTATGCTGACACTTCCTGGGAATATAATTGTATAACTGATCCTGTTAATTTAAAACTGTGCCAATTAACAAAGACTTAATACTTGCAAAACTGGGAAAAGATACTGTCCTTAGCTAAAGCTTGTCCAAATTCCTACAAATAAAAGAGGAGCCTGTTGAAATCTATAAATTGTTTGAAATCACTGTATTCATTCCCTTCGGAAATAGTTTATGGTAACAGGTATACTTCTGAAGCAAAAATGATAAATTCAAGAGGAAGAGAAATTACTACCAACCAAAAAATTCAATTATAAAATGCCTGTTTGCTATATTTTAGAAGCAGACCGGTAATTTTTTCTTTTTAATTTTTACACAGGGTCTCTATCTTGTCACTCAGGCTGGAGAGCAGTAGTATGATCACAGCTCACTGAAGCCTTGACTTCCGAGGCTCCAGTGATTCGCCCATGTCAGCCTCCTCAGTAGTTGGGACTAAACGTGTGCACCACCACAGCCAGCTGTTTCGTACTTTTAGTAGGGACAGGGTTTTGTCATGTTCACTAGGCTGGTCTTGAACTCCTGGGCTCAAGCAATCCAAAAGATGACCTTTAAATAAGAAAACAGAATCTGGAAACTACTTTTAAGAGTTAAAAAATAAAATTAAATTAATAGTAAAGCTACCTACCCTAAGTAAGAATAATTTTACCCTTACATTTGTTCACTGGTTCTGCTAACTTGACTCTAGCCAGTTGCTACTGTCAAAAAAGTTAAACTGAAAGAAAACCTTCTTCATCTTTGGGAGAAGTGCACACTAGATCACGGCAAACATCCTTCTCCATTTCAACTTCAACTTCAAAGAAGGTATCTACAAGATCTTCTGCTGTACCTGAAGAAACAAGTCAAGATATATAAAATGATGAAAGAAAAACATATTTTTAAATCCTAAATTTCAAATGGAATAAAGGTATTACCTTTTGCTTGATCATCTTTCTCTGTTATTTTCTGTTGAGCCTTTCTGAATACTCGTAAGTGTGTGCCAAAATCATCTACAATGCGTGTAGTAAAATAAGGTTGCCAGTCTATTTCTTTTGACCTTATAAAAAACACATTACATAAAATAATTATATAAATGCTTTATCAAAAAATATAAATTCATTTTAATGACTACTGACAAACAACATGATTATCTGAGACTGTAAATTTAAAGTGAGATTTTGTTCGTTCATTATTACCAGTTAGTATTGTTTTGCAAGATCCAAAGTATATCATATCTACTTCACTAAGTCTTCTAACAATATTACTTCAATTACTTTATGTGCCAAAGCTTAAAACTACTATCAAAATGCTTAAACTAGAAAAAGGAATTAATTTTTTTACAGTTAAATTTGGACTCTGACAACAGTGTATCATGTAATTTCTCAGTCCCAAAGTAAGGAATTCTGAAGTTTTGTTTCCTCTTAAAAGTATATTTCAAACATTTCTTGGTTTCTTCTGAACTTTCTGAATTCTCCACATTCTTCTTTTTAGCTATACAACCCATGTTATGAACCTTCTGTTAGAATACACCAGCACTTAAAAACTTGGCCATGGCCAGCCACAGTGGCTCATGGCTGTAATGCCAACACTTTGGAAGGCTGAGGCAAGAGGGTCACTTGAGTCCAGGAGTTCAAGACCAGCCTAGGCCACATGGTGAATCCACCTCTACAAAAATTAGCCAGGCATGGTGGCATGCCTATAGTCCCAGCTACTACAGGCTGAGGTGGGAGGATCACCTGAGCCCAGGAGGTCAATGCTGCTGTGAGCTGTGGTCACACCACTGCACTTGAGCCTGGGTAACAGAGCTATCTCAAAAAAAAAAAAAGGAAGGAAAGAAGAAAGAAAAGAAAAGAAAGCGCCTTTACCATTAGAAATAACTAGTAACATGGAAATGGTTTAAAGAATGCTGTAAAATATCACACACAAAAAGCCTTTAGAAAACTCATGAAAAAGGTGATTACTAATTTTATGAAGTCACCTAGTACTCTATTTCAAAAGCAACAGACCTCAAAATTTACCGTTAATTCAGTATACCAGTAAAACAGGTAAAAGCACAACAAATAACCCAAAAACAATTTATATCTCTCCTTGGATTGGGTGATTTTTTAAAATGTTGTTCTTTTTCATAAAATCGCACTAAAATTAACTCACCCTTTAGGAACATATCAAGTAGACAGAAAACAAAGAGTCTATTCATGAAGATGCTAGGCAATGGAGGAACCAAAAAAGTACACCATAATTCATTATGGTAATTACCCACGCATACAATAAAGAAGCTAGTAAAGAAGCTGACTTAATTACTGTTACTTTTTGGAAAAAAAAAAACCTTAAAGAGTCAGTTTGATATTGAAAAATAAATGGCTGCTTTCAAATAAAAATGTAAGTTGTTAATACTAAGGCACAACTATGGTTTGTTGTATACATGAAACTAAAGAGAAAGCCATAAGTATGTGAACACAAAAACAAATTAACATAAAAGGTAACCCTAAGCTCAGTAATCTGAGGAAGAATTAATTAACATTATTTAGAATATAAGAGCCATGCATATGCATATAAGCATATAACTAAACTTGGTAACAATATTCAGGCTCAACATAAAACCTAAAATAAAAACTTAAACGTAGCAATCTCCAGAATCTTTTTTATTTAAAAAAAAAAAAATTACAATCTGTGTAAGCATCTTTCAAAAATCTTAACATGAATATTTATTCAAAATCATCCATACTTGAAAGTTTATAAAAACAAAATTTACTTAGCATAGACCACAGCTCATTTAATCCACAAAAGGTTCATTCTGATAAATTTAGAAGAAAGCAGAATATATAATCTTTCAAGTTACATCTGTCCTGTTTCATGATACAATGCTATTTAATTTACTGAAATTTTCAAACAAAATAAAAATTACCAATTTAGAAGGCATTTTAAATTCATCTTGATTCACTATAGAGGATGTAAGGACATTTTAAACAAATAAAATCATCAGGCAATGCAAATACATACAAATTATTTTAAATTTGATGTACAGATTTCTATTTTCAATATAGAAATATGCTGAGGGTAGGAAAAATAGGAAAAAAAAGTACAGATACCCTATATCTCTTTCTGAGGTTATTTTCCTTCTGCTTGACTTATTTCCACTGACTTGACACAAACTTAATATAAATCTCAACTCAAAAGAACTTTCTAGATTAGGAAGAACAACAATAGCACACTGCTTCCCATTTATCAATTAGAAGGGTATATACTAACAATTTCTAGTAACGTTTGTCTTAACAAAACTGGAAAGTACTTTGATGAAAGTGAAGTACTTTCTAAAATCATGACATGATAAATATGTAATAAATGCAATGTGAAAATGAGTAAGAAATACTTCATTTACATAATAGTCATACTTCTACTGCACCTACTACATAGCTTTCTATTAGAGCTCTTAATAGCAACCATTCTAACAGTCGAAACTCTTTTTCACTTTGCTTAACATATTCTCCCATATGTAACTCTTAGTTTAGTAAAACAACTGGGCTATTACATAATGCATCTTATTACTGACACTTGAGTTTATTATTACTAATAAGCTGTAATTTCTTCAATTTAACAATAAAAGCACATAATCCCTATATGGCCAAAAGAATAGGTAACACCACCCACCCTAGCCTGAAAAAATTTACAGTAGGGACTTGAAGCTTATGCATCTTCATGGAATGGTTGCAAGAAAGAATTAAGAAGGTTAACTAGGAATGCAAAAAGTAATGAAATTTTAATTGAAAGCACAAAAGCAAAACAAAACAATAAAGTGTGTCTCTCTGAACATAAATTTTGCATGCCCTTATCTCTGTCTCTAATGCTACCATCCTATCCCTTGCCACCATCCTACTTACAGGTCTCCCACATCCAGTCATCTCCCCTGCATTCCAATTTCCATAGAGCAGTCAAATTTTTAAAATAGGATATACACAGCTCTAAAAACTCTGCAATAACAACCAATTATTATTAGGGCTAGGCACTAGTACCTTCTCTAAGATCTTCCATACCCAAGAGCCCTTATGTATTTCCTCTTCATCAGCATCTATTTCACCCTTTCCTTCCTCTTTATTACACATATCTACAGGTTCTTTTCAATATTTGCATTGTCAAATCCAAATATGCACCTTCTTACCTCAGTGTCTCTGGACAGACTACTCCCTCTGCCAGATTTGCTCTGCACTGCCTACTTTCCACAAATTTCCCTTCTCCTTCCCCATTTACCTGACAATTCCCACTTATACATTACAGTTCATCTAAAATGTCAATTCCACATGCCAGCCTTCATTGATCCCTACCCTCTCCACTATTCCGTCAGACTAGGTCCTATCTCCAGTTACACATTCCAATAATACCAAACTTTTCACTTTTTATAGCTCTTACAACCTAGACTTAAATTCTTTGCTGTCAGAAATCTTAAGAAGGCACAGATTGACTGTGTCTGTTTTCTTTTGTTTTTTTAAATTAGAAACAGAGTCTCACTATGTTGTCCAGGCTGAAGCAGCATGACTATTCACATATTCATAGTGCAGCCTCAAACTTGTGGGCTCAAGTGATCCTCCTACCACAACCTTCTGAGTATGTAGGAGTACAGACACATACCACTGCACTCAACCAACTGTGTTTATTTTATTCACAGTTGTGTCCCCTGTGGAAAAGTAATGTTTCGAACACTATTGCTGGCGCTCAATGCACACTGATTTATTGATTCCTTTTTCAGGGTCAGAGCACTGTGCTTGACGAACGGCAACATGAGGCACAAACAATAATTGCTTCCTTACTGTTTAAAGAGTTAAAATAGAATATGTACTGAGAAGCTCTTTTTGCCCCACAGCTACTTAGTGCCAATGCCTTAAAAAGGCAAGAAAAGTCCCAAATATGTGGCTGAGTTTGAGATTCTAAATTGCCTTGCTGTTTCATCTATTCTAAGTAGTGTACAGCTCATCATCAGAAACACAAAACACCACCAAAATCAAATATTTCTGTAAAAGCATTGGACTGGCACAGATTCACAGGGATTCAAGTAAAAGACTCCCGCAAATGATGCACCTTTTACTCGAATCAAAGGTATCTGTGTCAGTCTATGAAATTCAGCAATCACATCATTTCCCAAAGTTCGTTTTCTCTAACAACACTTATTATATCTTTGAGTCTATGATTATATTAGCTACATAAAACCACACATACACACACAGGGACAGAGTGTATAAAAAACTGGTAATTGGGCAGTAGGTAAATTTAAATATTTGATCAAAAGAGGGAGTCATGAATATATTTCATTTTAACTTAAATTATATAAATCATTCTGTGTAGGACTACGACTTTTTCTCTGGTTGAAGTGCTACGGAGTGGTATTAACATGACTCGGGTCTTGAAAAAACTACAAACTGTTCCCACACTGAAAAACATATGGTTTACAGTTTCTTTAAAATGGCATGGCAATAAAAACATTTGTGAACAAATCTGCATGTGGAATCCTTGAAGAATTTCTCTCAAATTTCATGGTTGCCTTTTGCTCACTTAATTCAACTACAATCTTCAACCAGCTTTGAGTAATTCCAAAGTGAGTGACTCAGTTTTCATAGAAACTACTTGCCATATTCATATTTCTTCAATCTAAGTTGAGTGTTAATTAAACCAACTGATTATAATTAAACCATCTGATTATAATAAAAAGTATAACGGGATATATAGGCTCAGAAACAAATACAACTGTTTTTTCAACAATGCTTGATTATCCATCTCTTCTAAATCACCAATATTCAAGTCACATCACAGACTAATTGCGGCAGATTTTCTGGAGGTGGGGTCCAGGCATCACACAATTGACTTTTGATAAGCATAACACTCAAAGGGTGGAAATAGAAGTGGATAGATGCAATAGAGCCTAGTCTTAATGCTAAGGTTAACAGTCAGTACAGCATACAAAGGGAATGGAGAGCATTGGCTAATTAAAATCAGTTAAGAGAGCTTTCACTACAGTAGCACAGAATTGGTACCATTTCAAAATCAGCTTAAAATGTTGTTGAAGAGAAC